GACAGTGCAGACAGGTACATTGACATACCTTAATGCAGAAAGCGGATTGGATTTCAAGACAAAAAATGTCAAAATATAAGTTACAAGCAGATGATTGAGAGACACGTAAGAGAACGTCTTTGGTTACCAGGAGGAAAAGGAAGAACATGAGGGGATGTCCTTTTCAGAACAGTTTTTCAAAATAGGATTCTCACAATTGTCTATGTCTCTAATATAACACATTATATTACATTATATATAACAGCATATATCCCAACAGGGACAAAATTATGCCACCTCCAGCATCTAGGATGCTGCCTGAGGAGATCTAAGTAGCCCTGCTAGAAAATGCCCTAGCTCCTTTCCCACCAATAAAACTTTCTCTGTGTCCATCTCAGCACACGCTGTAGTCTCAGATGGGCAGACATAATTAATTGGAGGTCTGAGCAGTCTGTCCAACAATGGTAACTCTCAGTGCCTACCAGGAAAACACTTGACATTCGTGTAATTTATCCCTAGAAGACTATTTAAGGATGAAGAGCCTTATGCTCCATTATCAATTTCTATTGCAGGTGGGAATTGGATGAGCAGTCAGGCTGACAGTTTCTTTTATTTCCAGTTCTTCAGTATCTCGATCAAAGCAATGAGACAGTGTGGAGGGCACAATAGTCCAGGACAAAGTAGAGGGGATCAGAAATCATGCCATGCCTTGCAGACAGAGCTGAGCAGATACTACATCTTTATCCTTTTTTGTGACTCAACATTAGGCAATAAATTAACTCCATTACTTTATTAACCTGCCCAAGATATTCTCACTACATAGGCACATAGGCTTCTGTGACACACAGGGAAATTAATCAGGTGATATTTGTTGGATAAGCAGTATTTATTTTCCTTTTCTCTCTCTCTTTTTTTTTTTCTTTTGTTTTTAGCTATTAGAACAGGTTTAACAACACAGCCATAATCTAAAATCCAGCTAGAAAAGAAAGCATAGAAGCAAAAGGCTTTAAAATTTTTATTTATTTATTGCCATTATTTTATTGTAAATTTTTGTAGAGGAAAATATCAAAACAGAATGGCTAGTCACTGGATGTCTGGGACCTGATTAATAAAACCAGTAAAGGTATTATTACAATTGAAATCTGTGGCCATCTCTACAGTTCTGGTTTTGCTATGTTGTATGCTGTGTCTACTTGGAAAAGCACATTAAACTTCAAAACTGAAATTGTTCTGTTGCTTATAAGGTAGTAGTTCTGTTCTTGTCAGGTAGACTAGAACGCCCTATCTTTTAGAAGCGAACGTACCAGGACCAGTTCCTGAGGTGTTGTTCACAATTGTGTCCTGAGACAAATAAGAGACAACTGTCTCTTATTTATCCTGTTCAATTCAGAAAGAAACAAAAACCAACCCCCCAAAAACCCCAAACCATCAAAAAGTACAACAGAGTGAAGGCTGAATGCCTTTAATAATGCAATACTGGAGCATACACTACATCAAAGGAAAAAAAAAAAAAGATTTATAGAGCATAAAACCTTGTTTGTGATGAAACAATTGCACTCATTTTGGCATCCACACTATTCACAACTAAACTCTTTACAGACAAAGTAGATAAGGTTTAAAGAAAGTGTAGAGAATTATGGGTGGTGAGTCAATCTGCAGTAGCTGAATATCACCAGCCTTTGCAGATGACTGTGGCTCAAGGTATAAAGTAGATTTGCAGCAACCTTTTTATGAAGGCAGTAGAAGTGTGATGATAGTTGACCAATTCTAAATCATGAGAAGCAAAGAGCAACATTTGAATGGAACCATTCATATCTAATGAAGAAAAAGGAATGCTTTCAGTATGTCTCAGTTTTCTATGGTGGAAAAATTGCAAGCTGAAATTGAATTCATGAGTTTTGAGTGTCCAAATTTGTAAAAGAAAACAAAAGTACAACACCTGCATAGTGCTCATTTTTCATATTGCATCCTCTCCACTATATCTCTTGGACAAAATGAATGACATACACAAATGAATAAAAACTCAATTAAAAAAAATTAGCCTTTGTTTAAAATGATTATATTATTTACTATACATAAAAAAATAAAACTCTCAAACATATATATGTATATTTTGCAAGCAGCTTCTTTATTGAATGAAGGCCATTTTTATTCAATAATAAACAAACTTGATGTCTACCAGTTATTTCCCGGTAGTAGCTGACATGCTAAATAGTATTTTTTTCTTCTTCTGAGGGAGGACATTTATGAATGCTGTGTTGGCTTTTTGAGATTCTTCTCCTGTATGGCTGAAGCCTTTCTTCTGTAGTGTTCTGAATTACACATGAATCCCTCTAGCTATTAGATCCTTAGCTCCTCAGTCTTTCAATACAGATTGATACTGCTACAGGTAATCCAAAGCACACTCAACTGCTTGTTACTTTCAGGCTTTGAGTAGAAGCCCTAAGGATTTGGCTAGGCAGAGCTCTCCTCCCAGCTGGCTGAGACACAGCTGCTTGGTGTTAGGACAAGCACCTGGGGAAGATGAGATGTAGGAGCCCTGACAGGAGGGGAAGGTGGGGATTTGGGTGGGCCATAGGCTGCTGCAGCAACACCAGCCCTGAGTGGGAAGGGAGATGGTGTTCAAGATAATACTTAAAACAGAAGTTCTGTAGAGCCCCTGAGCTAGGAGAAGCATGGCTCTGGGCAAAACAGTGAACTTAATGTTTTGTTACAGAAAGAGAGACGTAGTTAATCTGAGACAGTTGAAAATGAGGTAGTATTTATTTTAAGGGCTCTGAATATAAATAAACTGCTTCCAGAATTCAAAAGAGCTGAAGGTCCATCTGAAGCCAGGAAAGAGTGCCCCAGCTCAGTGCTTATCTGCAGGGAAACTGAGTATTAGAACAATCCATCTTCTCCTACTTCATTCACTTCTGATACCCACGGCAATCAATGAGGAACAGAAAGGCCTTGTGCATGCCAGGAGCATTATTCGGTAATCATCCTCCCACTAAGAGGTTCAACCCTTCCTTTGTTGCCAAGGTTCAGGGAATAGAGTGTACGACCAAGCACAATAGCTTTCTTTGTAAATTCTGTAACTCTTTCAGTCTGCAGTGGCGTGGTGTAACATTTCTGTTAGCTGGAAGAGCAAGTAGCTCTTTCCAAACCTACAAGAGCTATTCCGAATCGATTCCTATGCGTTAGAGTGATTCAACCTTCACCTTCTCTGCCAGCATATGAAACATCGCCAGCCACGTATGCTTTGAGTTCTTGCCAAGTGCTCTTATGATTCAAGAGAAAATAACGAGGAAAAATGGCTTCATAACTATTGAATATTAAAAAAAAAAAACCTTGACAATTTTGTATGAGGTGGATTAAGTTATCTGCAGCGCACAGAAAAGTTCTGAGCTAGGGAAGTTACTAGAAATGGTAGTTCTTGAAGCCTGTCATGTGTTCCAAACCCAGATTGTTAGAAAAGCTGTATTTTTAAAGTACAACAGTTTAACAATGAGAACAGCTAATATTCTGAATCCTTCCTTTGTCTTTAACATAAAGATAAGCACAATCAGGAGTGTTTCTAGCATTTACTGTGTGCCACTCTTTCAATACTCTGCTGTCTCTAAAGAATGCGTGGCAAATATCTGAAGTGTGAAAGGATAAAATAAAATTACAAAATAGGAACTTTGAGAAACATGGGAAATGCTGCTTAGCCCCATTAATATGTCAGTTCATTGTAAGTTTCCACAAATAGCAAGCAATATGAAATCAATTGTTATTATTTCTGCCCTTTGCAGAATTCTATAAAAATAATTCTAACAACATGCAGCAGGAAAGCCTTGCCGTGCTCTCCTTGGTGATGTAGAATGCTGAGGTACAGTTGACTTATCTTTGTCTCTGGTGAATTTTGACTCAAGCCAGGACATAAAGGATCAGCTAGCATTTCTTTTCTTCACCAAACAATGTCTGCTTTGCATGCCTGGCATTAATATTTTGAGAGAGTGTATGAACACATTAAAAAAAAAAAAAAAAGTAAGTTTCATTAAATTAGTTTTGAAGAGCTACTCTGAAAACAGACTGTTTTAGTGATCTAAGTTGCAGATAAATCTTAAAAACTAGGGATGATGTCAGTCTGCTCCTCAATTTTATTATTAGATTTTATGATAGCATGTTAATGTGAACCTTTTAGTTCAAGCATCAGAAAAACAACGAGTGTAATCCAGACCTAGTCTATGTCCCTCTCTCTTTTCAGATTGTTGAGAGCAGTCTGACTTGTGAGGTAACTTTTCACCATGCAGATATGGCTACAGCCATTATTCGTTCAAAGAAAGGAAAAAAAAAAGAACATAACTATACAACTGAAAGCTGTCTAGGACAAAATTATTTTCCTGAAAAAATGGCATGCTGTGATAATTGTAACCTCTTGAGAACTGGGTTTTCTAAAAAGAGCTGTTGACAGATTTTGTGATCAGGTACTTCAGTTTGGTTTTTCATTTTCTTCTGTTCCTAGACACGAAAAGTATCTGTTTCAAGAACTTAATTCATAAATTAATCTGCTTTGAAATGTTGAAGTCCAGCAAAATATGCTCACACAAAAGAACTTTTATTTGCAGAATCAGATAAAGAATGTTAATAGTAGACTTGCTGGGAACTTTATTAAACACATATCAGAAGCTATAAATTCCTCTTTCCAACCCCTCCCCCATTTTTTCTTTTTTGGTTAGACATGCTTTCTTAGAAAAGGCACTTTCTGCATGATTTTGGCACTTTGGGGTGTGTACATTTGGAAAAAATTATAACACTTCATTTGGAAAGCTTATTAGTAATTTAGCAATAATTCTAGATACATTGAAAAGTACTTTGAAAATAAGTTTGTCTTGACAGCAGTAATAGAATTTGGTTCTTCTGCAGTATTTTTTCATGAGTTGATAATTACTAAGACTTAAAGGCATAGAAAGTAATTAGTGTAATTAATTTTGCAGCTGAACTTTTTTTTTTTTTTTTTTTTTTTTTTTTTTTTTTTTTTTTTTTTTTTCCAAAAGCCTACAAATCCTCTGGCTGACCCACAGCTCACACATGTTGGTAATTAAAGCATCATTGATTTGATGCACCTGGCTGAACTCTCGAGTGGAACACAGAAAGTGGGAAGTTACTCTGCATGGTACTTTACTTCAAAAGAGAAGTTGCAAAAATGGGATAAGTAAGTAAACTATTTTGGATTCTTTTCTGTTTGGTTTTTGTTCTTTTGTTTTGTTTTGTCTGGTTTTGTTTTTTATATGGTGAAGGGGCTTTTTTTGTTTTTGCATTTTAAAAGTATATTGTACAGAGTGCAGCAGAGTTTTTCTCTGATCTGTGTAGAGTTGCTGGAAAAGTGATTTTCAAGGAAAGCTGCAATTTAGTTATGAA